CAGCTCGGCCTTGAGATTGTTGATGGTCGCCTCCAACTCATTATTTTTCTTCTGGGCCGCCTCCAACTGAGCCCGGATAGCAGAAGTAGCCTGCGCCTGATAATAAAGAATATCAGTTGTCAAAATTTCATTTTGGGCAATTTGAAACATTGCCTTATCACAGTCAGAGGCGGCCATAGCTTTAGCAGCCTTTACCTCTTTGTTCTTCGCATTAAGCGTCTTGCGAAGGGACTGAGCAAAAGAAAACAGGCATCAGATTTCAAATAAAAACAGGCGTCCTAAAATTAAAACAGCAAAAATACGCTAAGTATACCTCAGCAAGGAGCCCTACTATTCCATCCAGGTCAAGGGTACCGACACCCTTGACCGCCTCTCTCTCAGCCGGAGGGACGGCTTTGATCATGGACTTGGCCATTTCGACCAAGTCCGGTTCCTGAGGGCCGGCTGCATCAAGTGTAAACAAGGATGTTAGATAAAGCAAAAGGAAAGGTCCAAAACTAGAATGGCAATTTCATACCCCTAGGCGGCCTGCTAGGAGTTTGAGAAGGAGTGGCCGGCTGTTTCTCAGCCGCTGCATGTTTCCTGGCAGTACTAGGAGAGCTCGCAACAGTCGTCTTTCGGGCCTTGGAGTCCGGCTGTTGGGAGGAGGAAGTTCTTGGTGTGCCCGTCTAAAAAAAAAAAAAAAAAAAAAAACAACACATGGTCAGTATATGTATAAACCCAACCTCTCAAACATAAAAGGGGAAAAGGTGAAAGCTAGGAGCTTACTAAGGGCGTCTCCTTGTTAGGAGAGTCAGCTGAAGTTTGTTGCATGATGGAGGCACGCAACATAGCCGCTGCAGTCTAGGAGGCGGTAATTTTTCTCATGGCTTCCGCTGCATGAATAAATGCTCAAGTTAGCAAAGGTTCATAGAAATAATTTCTGCAAAAGAAAGTATTCGTCAGGTCGGCTACCTCTTGAGAACCGACTGCTGAGGCCACAGGCGGCCAGGAAGTACTCGTCATAGAGCCATTTGAAGCTCGGGACGCAGTGCAGGGGTACTTGCTCTCGTATCCCTGTAGTAGAGTCGACCCTTGTCTCTACTTTAAAGAGTCCTTTGTCTAGGATCTCTTTTTTAGCTTTTGGGGGAACAGGCGGCATGCTGCGACCGCCTGCAAGAAGAGGCGGGTCTCGGTTCCACCTGTTGAAGCGTTGGTTCAGCTCCTTGTCTGAACTCTCAATGATAAGGAAGGTGCTTCTCCAATCCTTCCATTTGTTCTCTTTACCTCTCGTCATGAGGTAGCCCCTGTGGCTCGTCAATTGGTACCAGCCGGTACCGCCTGCCTTAGGAGTCCGGCTGAGATAGTTCATGTGGGCGAAAGCCTCGAAGCTTGGCTCCACCCCATACATCTCGCACCCGGCTACATAGCCGAGGACGTTGAACCAGGAATTTGGGGCTAACTGCCATAACCCCAACTCATATCCGTCCAGGATCCGCTGAACGACCGGATGTAGGGTGAAGCGCAGCCCAACTCTGATGGCAGCCTCATAGCAGCCAAAGCAGGCGCTATCATAACTAGTACCACCCGGGCAGACGACTGTGTCTTCCGGATCCGGCACAAAAACTAAGAAGCCAGGGCCCATCACATGGTTCGCAATAAAGCTCCCCACTTTTTCTTGCATGGCCTTGATCCGGCCTTTTGGAACCGTGCAGTAGTAGGGGGTGTTTTGCTCTCTATAGGAGGCGGATGGCTCCGCCCAATTGTCCCCTTTCTCTACTGCATGAGAAAGTCTCGCCTCTTGTAGGCGGTTGTTTTTCTCCTCTGTGTCTAGAGAAGCATGACCAGATGAGCTAGAATCGGACTCGTCCTCTGAAGAGTCCGAAGAGGACGACTCCTCTCCTCTCCTAGAGGGGCCCGCCTCCTCTCCTTCAATAGGAGCAGGAGAAAAGGTAGACATGTCTACGGTAAAATGGGAGGGGACCACCTTGATCCTTCCCTTAGAGCTGTCGGCGGCCAAGCCGCCTTGGTTCACTTCAATATCTGGCACCTGGTTAGATGTCTCACTAATCGGCACCTAGTAGGAGGAGCCGTCCGAGTTTGTGATCCTAGCAGTTCCTTTTGTTTTGGCCATTATGTTCTGCATAGACACAGAGACAGTCGGACTTTGTATAAAGGGCAAAGATTGGTTTGGAAAAGGGCAGGCGGCACTCCTAGTCCTAGACTCAGCCGTCCCCGGTGACCGGCTGATCACTAACCTAGGTCGTGTCGTATGCTTCCGTGGTGCCATTTCAAAAAGGAAAAAATAAAGAAAAGTAAAAAGAATGAAAGAACCGACGGTTACCTGAACGAGCGAGAAGTTGACGAAGTTCTGAAAATTCTGAGTAAACAGCCGACTTGTTAGAGCAGGCGGTAGGCAGGAAGTGTTCGGAATGTCAGAGCAGGTTCAGGGGTCCGAATGTTCTCTTAAAAAGTTCTCAAGTGTGAAAATAACTGAGGTCAACACGCCCTTATATAGACAAAATGAGAAGGCGAAGGGTCACCTTCAAATTCAAAATTTGAGCGGGAAAACTCTCGGCCTTTCACCAAGTGACACCTGTAGCAGGCCGTCGCCTGTTACGATCCGACACCTGTCACAGGTAACACGTGACCAGTCACGTGCCACCTGTGAGGGGCAAATGATTAGGGGATTTTTACCCACCAATCATCATTCGACAAGTGGACCAATAAGGTTCCGCCACGTGTCCTCCATGTAGGCCAATTGGAGCCTGCCACGTGTCAGTCAGTGATCTGTCCACCGTGGATCAATTGTGACACGCCACATGTCCTTTCCCATGACACATGGGATAGCTGGCCAACAAGGCCCAACTCTTAGGGAGGCCCAGTCAGCCCTAGATTAAACTTAAACCTAGAGAGTGGCACGCTTCCCAAGGTTATATATACCTTCATTAATCCTCATTAAGCGGGATTACACACATTAAACACTCTCACCTAGAGAGACTAAATTACAGTATTCCGCATTAATTACTCCCTACACAAGTACTAACTTGATCGTTGGAGGCGGATCTCCAATCACTCGGAGTATCCGTTTGTTTTGCAGGTACAGGCGTCCGGTTCCAGTCTCAGAATTGTAACTCTCCCGCAGGACATCAGAAAACCCCGAAACAGTTATATTTGCTGGGCAGTACTCAAGCGGTTTATGAGGTTTAAGCTAATTGATGCACAGTCAGTATGCCCGTATGTGCTTTTGGGAATAAGAAGAGATTGCTTGCAAACCCCTCAGGCGGTTTTTTAAGAAGTTGTGCCGTCTGACGAATCACAGACGTATGACCGAATGTGGTTGAAGGAGCAGGCGGGTTTTTCACTCTAATTCTCCCTGGAAGCCGGCTGACTCTCTCTCTTTCTGAACTTTGAAAAATGACAAAATGAGGTGGGTGAGCGGCTATATAAAGGAGGGTAATGCGAAGGGTCACCAAGGAAAATTTCCCTAGAAGGCGAACGATTATTGCCGTTAGCCAATGATTGAGTGACAAGTGTCCCAAATGCCACGTGGCTTGTCACGTCACATCTGTGAAGGGAAAATGTTTAGGGTAAAAATACCCTATGCCACGTGGTCCAATCAAAGCGTGACACGTGTCACTCTCAAAGTGGTTCATAAGAGCCAATCTCTTCTGGACACGTGGCACATGCTTCTCGACCCTATAAATAGGGAGATGTTTCCCCATTGGAAACCATTCACAATTAATACAAACCAACCGAGCACATTAAAGTGCAGATCATTTACTCCCAAACTCGTAATTCGAAATCATTTACTTTTGCATTTATTACAGACTCCATTCCGGTTCTAACTTGATCGTTGGAGGCGGAACTCCCCCACGTCTGGATTCCAGTCTTGGAGTTGTAACTCTCCCGAGGGACACAAAAAACCCCGAAACACTATCATTATGTTTTTTTTTGGTGTTTAGAGAGCCACAAGGTGAGTTATCCTTCACTCTCTATGTAATTACAATCAAGTAATTTTTGTATTATTGGTCTTTCAATTAAATAAAACATAATTTGTAGTTGGTCATCATAGTTTGCCATAACTCATAATTACCAAGCTCAAAGTGACGAAATTCAACTCGAAGCGTACACGAAGCAGCAGTGCCAAAGGGTTTCTCAGACAAATATTAAACCATATATGTACACGAAGCTTTTTGTGAGGTTTATCAATGGAAGAAATCCTAACTTCTATTGCATTATAGGTTTCGAGAAAGCACATCAATGACGTTGAATTTAGAGAAAAAAGAAGTTGAGGATAGAGAAAGAAAATAGAAGAAAAGTAGAGAGAGAAATACAAATTGGGAGGGAAGATATATTTTGGGTGAAGGAATATGTGAAGGTGAAGGTCATCTCACCAATGGATGGGTGGTGAAGAATTACTTTAATGATGTTAGACTTTCAAATTTTTAGAGTCCTAAGCTTTTTACTTTACCCCCGTAAGTTAAAGTTGAGTTAAATGGTTGGAAAGTTAACCACGGTGTTAGATCATTTTCAATGGTGAGACTCATTGGAGTTTTTTTTTTTTTTTTTTTTTTTTTTTTTTTTTTTTTTAAGGAGAGAGAGTATTTTTTGTAAAGGATATCAATAAGTTGGTATCTAAATTTAGATACTCTAAAAGAAAATTGCTAAGTTTAGATACTCAATTTTGAGTCTAAATTGACAAAAAAGTGGGCCCTTATCAATTTTATATTGGTTTATTTATTTATTTAACTTTTAATATTTTTGAAAAAAAACTAAAATTGTTTATCTAATTAGATATTGGTTGATATTGGAAAATAACATTAGTATACGTAAGAGTCTCACCATTGGAAAATTATATATTACATAAATTGCTAAATTGAGAAATGTGTTGGGTATTACTGTCAGTTGTGAAAAACAACTCATTTTGTATTTTAATACTTAAAATTGAGTTCTCACCATTGAAGAAGAGGTGAAAAAAAAGGGTCAAGTCCTTAGAGCTAGCTAAAAGCCACTGGCTATCGTTATTTTGCGGTTTTGCCGACTAACGCCTAACTCCCGCAGCATCTATCCCGAGTTCCCGACTCTTGATGAGTCTCGCGCAGCCTCTTCTTGCTAACGGCGCACACCCAGCAATTTCATCAGTAAGCACAGCACTCCTGTCAGCGATAAATCTACCATTGGTTCCTTCCTATTGCATTCAATTCCTACGCTCTCAATCTTCCCTGCCATCAATTGCCTTCTCTGTTTCTGCGACAACTTCATCTTCCTCCTCTGCTGCATTCTCTTTCTCCGTCTGTAAATTAGGTATTCTCCTCTCTCATTTTCTCTTTTTCCTGTAAATTTCAGATCCAAATTAGGGTTTTCTATGTTCCAATTCTTAGCTTTGTATTTTTAATTGTTTGTTCACTTCAATTCAAGTATTAGAGTGATTTTAGATTTTTCACTGCTTTCAGATCAATACTTCAAGACAAGTTCATCTCAATTTTTTGTTTCAGTGTTGAAATCGGTGATCAAGCGCTAGTTTTCGCAAGAATTCCTGGTGTAAAGTAGTTGTGATTAATTAACATGCCAAAGAATTTCCGGAAAAGGAAAGTTGAGGATGAAGCGGCAGACAATGTTTCAGACGACGAGGAGGATAGAAGGTGATAGTATTCATCATTTCATATCATGTGCGTGCATTTGTTGGTTAATTGCTTTGTATGTTTGGACATTTTGAAACATTATATGTGAATGCCAGTTAGGTTAAAAATTAGAAGATGATTGTATTTGTAGGAATAAGTGCAGTGTTAATTTTATCTTATGATTGTCCCGAACATTTCGGATGGTTTTCATTTTTGTGTTATTAAGTACTGCATAAGCATTAACATTGTTGGTTTGGGTGGGAAATTAGATGTTTAGAATTGTAAGAATGTAAACAATGTTAATTACTATTTGTACTACCTTTCTTGGGTAGTATTTATATGTTATTCCGTATTGCTATAATCAATCACTATGGCCCGGAGGGAGTATTTCTCTTCAAGCATGTTGCCGTTTCTCAATTCGATGGTTTGACTTGCAAGTGTTGATTTGAGCAGGTTGGCATTAGAGGAGGTGAAATTGCTTCAAAAGCAGAGGGAGAGGAGATCTGGAATCCCTGCTAATTCAATACCACAGTCATCTGATGTAGCAACAAAGATAGGCGAAAAAGTCGAGGCTGATGGAGATAAAGAAGAGTTAGTTTTGCAGGATACGTTTGCACAAGAAACTGCTGTCATGATTGAAGACCCCAATATGTATGTTACCTGTCTCGTCTCTTTTCTCACTCCATTTAAATTAGATTGCTTTTTAGATTTGAGCATGCAAGCACACATTAGAGTTGGTGTTCCTTTTCATGTAAATATGTACTTTGAGTTTTTGACATCTTTGTTTTTTATTTTTTTAACATCCTTGCCTTCATTTGTTTTGTGTTTCAATTTTTGATTGTTATTAGTTTTGCAATTATGAATTTTCTTATAAAAGTTATAAAACCTTGATAAAACAAAAATCTTTAGCCTTGATAAAAGTTATACAACCAAGATTTAATGCTTGTCTTTATGGGGATCATGCCTCCCAGGCTCTCAATAGTCTAGATTTATTTTTAAAAGACACATTCTCAGCCTTGCCTACTGTCAAACAACAGGTTAAAGTATATCGACCAAGAATTAGCCAAGAAAAGGGGCAAGGAAATTACTGCGATAGAACAATCTGAGAGTGAATTGACTCTTGCTGAAGAAGGGTTATACAAGATTCCGGATCATTTAAAAGTATGTGAACTTCTTATCTGTATTCTCTGAGTTGTGGCTAATAAAAAATTTTGGTGGCACTCCCTAGGCATTTTTTTAAATCACTATATTGCTTGTTTCTTATTGCATCATCTGCTATCATATTTTGTCTGTTTAGGATTTATCAACTGGTTGTTGCAGCTTGTAGTCTTGTTGTATCTTTGCAATTGGTTTCATTTACCTTCTTGTTCTTTTTTCTATTTACATATATCTTCTCTTTGTTATAACTTGTAAGACATTGAATTTTCTTGCTTAGAAGCACAATAAAAGTGGTCTATCCTATTGTGTTCTTTGTTACTCTGATGTGGATGTTTTTTTTTTGCTATACAAACCCTGACAATTTGTGATAAGCACATGAAATTTTGACTGTGAATCCATACTTGACACTTGACCTTTCAATTGGACACTTCATGCCACAATGAACTATAGATCAAGATAGGGGAGAGGGTGAGTAAACGAGGTTAGGAGGGTGTTTCAACAATTTATCTTACTTAGGCACGTCATTTTGCCCAGCAACCCGAAAATGACCTGACACCAATCTGGATATTAAATAGAAGGTAGCTATCATCTCCCACCTATACAACAAGGTTTAAGATAGTAACCATCAAGAGAGAGGAGATTAACTGTGTAAGTGTGTACTTTTCTTTATACCATCGTGTTTGCATAGTATGTAGTAAACCCTGGATCTAGTAATTGAGGAAAAAATATGTAACGTTTTACTTGAGATCTCGAGCCTTTTGTTCTTGTGGTTGAGTCAAGTAAGAACAAGAGTGAGAATTTATTACCGTTGTTTATCTCACAGACTCTGTTACATGGACTTGCCTATTTTTTGGCCATAGCTGTGTCGAGATGTAGACATGGGTATGAAATCTGAGTCCGACCTTTTGCTGTGCACTCAAACACGGCAGCACATAAAACATAAACCCTAGGTCTGCAATTGGAGAATTATGAGACATGTACGAAGCCCAAAAATAAAGGGTTTTTTCTCGCCTAAGTCATGCGAGTCGATTGATGTAATCACCAGCCATAGATATTGATCGCCTAGATGATTCTAGTGGTGGTCTAGTTGTGTTGTAGGTTGTAGTGTGAGAAGAGAACGAAAATAGGAAGAAGAAGCATTTGGGAATATACGTGTATTAGCTGAGATAATTGTTGCCAGCTAATAAAATATTACTTCCTTTGTTATTTTTTAACTTTCAACTCTTTTCTTTTCTCACTTGCTGATGCATTATTTCAATCAATATTATATTTATTTACCATGTGTAAAAATTATAAACATTTGATATTATAATACTATAAATCAAGATGAATCTAACAATATCCTACATAACTATATTTTTTCTTTGCTATAAATCATCAATGCTAGTTAAAGTGAAGCAAATAAATAGTGTAAAAGTCAAAACTGTTGCGAGTATAAAAAAAGAGAGGAAGTACCTATTACTCTCCTGTGTGAAGGCTAACTTTTTTTCTTTTTTGCACCATCTACATTTAATTATTGTTGACCTTATTTTCGCTCTTTTTTTGTCTTTTTTTTTTTTTCTCTTACCTACTTCCCAGCTTCCCTACATAAAATTACTAGTATTTGGTTTTTTGTTTTTGTAAGGAACACACACACACACACACAAACACACACACACACACACACACACACACACACACACATATATTAATTCTGTGTCTCCGTACCCGAGTCCAAATCTCGGGCAGAGTCTCGTGTCCTAAATTTTTGAAATTGCCATACCAGACACTCGGATCCTTCCCATACTTGAGACTCCTAGGCGAGTCCTTGTAACATAGCCCACTGATTACTTTGTTTGTGGCCGTAAAAGAAAGAGAGGAAAGAATATGCGGAGTAGGAAGGAATAAAATAATTAACAACAATTGCCCTTTGAACTACATTTTACGTTTTCTTCATTTTCCTTTTGGTTGCTACTCCGAACCATTGTATAAAAAAGCTCAAGGCGCACTGAAGCGGGAGGGGTTCTGTTGCGCCTAGGTGCGCCTAAGGCGCGCCTCAATATGCCTCTTTGAAGTGAGGCGCAGTATATGGGCAGTTAAAAAATTATGGCTGAAGTTTGCCTCAAGTGCGCCTAACCCAGAGCGCCTCGCCCAGACCTAATTAAGCGCTCACCCCTGATCGCCTTGCGCCTAGGCGCGCTTTTTCAAACACTGCTCCGAACTATACATTACTCTTTCTTGCTCCATTTGGGGGGAGGAGGAGGAGGAGGGGTTAAAGTAGAAGCTTTACCCTACCCATTAACCACTTGTTCATGGCTCCCTCATCCAATCATCCTCCTTCCCTCCTTCCTTAAATCAGCGACCAATTAATAAAGTCTCACACAACCAATAGCACAATATTTCACTATTTCATGCCTAGTGCCTGCTGAATTAATCAATTTTATAGTGTATGATGAATCAATCATCTTTCAATTGCACTTTTTCTTAGTGTTCATGTCATTGGTTTTTTTTTTATTTTTTTTTTGTTTTTTTTTTTTTTTTTGTTTGGAAGACCGTCATTTCATTGGTTTTAATAAGCATTCAAAGTGGCAAATTCTGGTTAGTAATTAATCCTCAGTCTTATGTAAAGATTATGATTTTGACAATTAGATAGGTCTACTGGTCTAGTGATGATTGGTGGAGGGAGGAAGGTAGGGCTAGACCAACTAGTTTTTGTTTACCAGCAAAACATATATATCCTAAAGTTTGGGTAGTTGTCACCTTTACTTTCAAGTTCATCCTCGTATAACCTAATATCATGAGTAATGTTTCTCTAAGATGAAATCTGTTTGAGTTGATGTTTTCATGTTACTTGGCTTTATTTCCATAACTAAAAAAAAAAAAAAATCTATTTAGGGATAAGTTTGTTCAGATAAGCTCCACTTAGGACTATTCCAAATAAATTTACCACAGCAATAAGCTCATATTAGTCAAATTCAGGACAGAAAAAAATCAAATCCTTAGGGGGTGTTTACTCTGTTTAGTATTGGGTATGTAGGAAAGGGTAAGGGAATCAAAATGGTTGATTCCTTTTGCTGATGTTTGTACTTTCTTTATGTCATTCCTTTTCCCCTCTCAGTTACTTTTTAGTCTTCCAAGTTGACCCCCCCACCCCCCCAAGGTATTTGGATTCCCTTTCTTTAGCTGCCACCACATCACCCTAACTACTGCCACCCTCACCAATGCACCACTGCCTACTGCATATACCTCATTGCCACCACCTCACTCGCCACCTTTGGTGCCCTAACCACCGCCGTTGCCTTGCCGTCCATCCACCGCAAAACCCACCACCATCCTAGAATATCCACCTCACCCACCGAAACCACCACTTACCCACCCTTACCACCCGAAAATACAACCCCCACCACCGGAAAACCCACCCCACCCCCGAAAACATAACCCCACCACCCAAAAACCCATTCCACCCACGAAAACACAACCCTGCCCTCATAAACCTAACTCGACCCACCTAAAAATCCACCCCCACTACCGATCAGCGATTACACCCAGTAACCAACTAGAAAGCCACACCCCAAACACCTGAAACCCACAACACCAAACCTAAAACTAGCTTAGATCTAGAAGAATTTTTTTTTTTTTTTAAAAAAAAGAAAAGAAAAAGAGAGAGAGAGAGTGAGGAAAGTAAGGTGGGGCGTCGGCGACACCGCGGCAGCAAGAGAGCGGGGTGGGGGGTGGCGGAAAAGGCGGTGACTTTAGGAGGGAGAGGCGCCGGAATAATTAATGGGGCAGTGGTGGTTGTATGGTAGGTTTCTGATTTAGAGTGGTGTTGTTGTTAAAAGGAAAGGAAATGGTTGTTTTTAACAAACAACTTCGTTAATCTAAGTGTTTTTGTTTCCATTCTCCTTGTTCCCTTTACTTATGCTCGTTCTGATTCCCTTTGTTAAACCAAAAGGACTCTTAATGTTTGTCTCTTACGTTAACTGATGATGGAAGTCATGGAATGATGATAATTTGTTGTTTATCCAATTTCCAATTTGATGAATACTTAATCCATCTTACATATTTGAGATTGTAGAAGCACCTATTTTATCTTTCCTTAGGTTGTTGTAGTTGGAGCTAATGTTGATAAAATTTACAGGTGATCGTAGGCTTGTAGCTTGTACCCCTATGTTATTTCTCTGTGATTACCTCATTTTATCTTCAAGTATAATATTGCATTCTGCTAGAAGGTTAGCCTATCTTTTTTCGTTGTCAAAAATCAAGATCTCCACTTTTTCAGATGAAATATATAGGAATTATGCCGGGATTTATGCAAAAAAAAAAAAAGAGAATTTTATTACTCTATTGCCCATGTAATTAAAGGGAAAGGAGGACAGATAACCTAAGTTGTTGTATAAGTTTCAATTGTAGCATAAAGACCCACAATGATGACTAGCATATCTAAAACTTAGCCAAAGAAATATGATTTCATATTGACTAAGAGTTCTAAAATATTGATTTTGGAACATATTGATTATTGCTAACTCCATAGTGGTTTGGAATCATGACTGGATGTTCGGGGATGATGGTACGAACTCAACCTTGAAAGAGGTCAAACCCGCACTAAAATAGGCCTCTACTTAATCAAGTATTTGACGACCAAAACCCCACTGCCGCTTGGCCTCCTACCACCAACACCCTTCCCAAACTAACCATTGCCCTTGCCACAAAAGCACCACCCCACCCTACGGTTACAGCCACACCATGTAAATATATAGGAATTATGCCGGGATTTATGCAAAAAAAAAGAGAATTTTATTACTCTATTGCCCATGTAATTAAAGGGAAAGGAGGACAAATAACCAAAGTTGTTGTATAAGTTTCAATTGTAGCATAAAGACCCACAATGATGACTAGCATATCTAAAACTTAGCCAAAGAAATATGATTTCATATTGACTAAGAGTTCTAAAATATTGATTTTGGAACATATTGATTATTGCTAACTCCATAGTGGTTTGGAATCATGACTGGATGTTCGGGGATGATGGTACGAACTCAACCTTGAAAGAGGTCAAACCCGCACTAAAATAGGCCTCTACTTAATCAAGTATTTGACGACCAAAACCCCACTGCCGCTTGGCCTCCTACCACCAACACCCTTCCCAAACTAACCATTGCCCTTGCCACAAAAGCACCACCCCACCCTACGGTCACAGCCACACCACTTTCATTAGCCTGCATTACCCCCAACCCCCCCCCCCCCCTCTGCCATTCCCACTATCATCAGGCTCACTTAGACACTTACTCGTAAACATCACCATCTGCATTTAAAAACCAACTAATAGGATACAAGTAATTTAACAAGTAACAACAAATATACATAAACAAACTTAGCATAAATATACAATGATAGCAAACATAAATATGAAATTTACAATAATAGCAAACTTCTAGTGTACGATGGATACCTAAGGTGGTTCACCAGTGTTGTGGGTTGCTTGGATTTTCAACGTATGAAATTTTTATGACCCTTTAATGGATGGAAGGATTTAAGTGGTTTTAATGGTGGAAATTTGAAGGATAGTCCTACAAAGGCAATGCCTTTTAAGTTTGATCTTAGGAGCAATGATCCTAAACCCTGGCCCCACTTTAAGAGTAAGGCAAAACCAAGAGAATACATAAATAAAATAGTAAAGATAGATACCTCCTCCGTTCCAAATTAGATGACTCATTTCTTTTATCATGTTTGCCTGTGCATAAATTCAATCGTAAATATCTCTAATTATCAATAAGTAAAAATTATAAAAAGTTAATATTATGAAAATACACATTAAAAGGATTCCAACAAGATCTTACATGACTATACTTTTTTTTATCTATAAATCATGAAAGTTAGTCAAAGTAGAGTTTGTGAATAGTGTCAAAAGTCAAAGCGTGTCATCTAATTTAGAACGGAGGAAGTATAAGAATAGGTCTTGATTCACTTCTTTGTGTGTGAATGAGAGAAAGAGAGGAGTGAGAAAGCGAGAGAGAAAATTAAGGGCCAATTGGAAATTGATGTTGGTGTTGTTAGTTTCTTGTGGCGGTGGAGAAAACATATAGATGATGATGGTGGTGGTTTGATGTTCAGTTTTGGTGGTGTTTAGGGTTTTTTGGTGAAAGTCCCATGGGGGGAGAGAGAATAAAACAGGTGTTGGCCTGATGGGTTAATGATGAAGCAATGGGTGGTGGTGTTTTGGTAATTAAAATGGTTGGAGGTTGAAGATGTAGAAATCAGTGGTTGTGGATTGATAAGTCAGTAGGATTGTTTGATAAGTTGGGTAATTCAATGCGTGTGGTTATATTTATGATTGAAGCGTTAACTTAATGTTTAGTTAGATGGCTACATCAGGGTATTTATAGCAGAATAATCTTGGTTATCTACAGCTATTAAATTAGGTAATTTTAGAAGTATTGCGTGACTTGCATCTGCTTCCACACTTTTACTTCTAGGGAAGTGTTACATTTTAGAAAACAGAAGATGTATTATGCGTTCTCCTGCAAATGTTTGATTGAATGGAATTGTGATTTCTATATGTTTTGACAACCATTGTCATTTAACAGAGAAAATTAATGAGAAATCTGTAACAATTTCATTTATCTCAATTTTGCCTGGTTAGGTGAAAAAGAGAAATTCGGAAGAAAGCTCTACTCAGTGGACCACTGGTATTGCAGAAATTCAGCTTCCTATTGAGTATGTTAACACTATTCTCCAAATACTTTGTCCACCTTGAAAACAGCAATCCAGCATCATCTTATGTGTGATTCATCTTCTAATTGCAGATTTAAGTTGAAAAATATCGAGGAAACTGAAGCAGCCAAAAAGCTTCTGCATGAAAAGAGATATACAGGTCAGACCAAGAAAGAATCAACCAATTCTTGGAATCACAATGCTGATTATTTCCAGTGTGGGAAAGATTATGCTGAAAAACTTAGGAGAGGTTTGTCACCACCACTTCTGTTATTGATGATCTGTCAGTGGTTTATTTTCCTGTTTCTCAGACGTAAGGTTTTTAGACTGTAGAATTAATTCAGTGGTTTTATTTTTTTCCTGTAACTCTGTTGAAGAGCAATAGAGCTTTTGTAAAAACAATTTTTTTTTTTCCACCTTGGTTGAGACAGGAGTCAAAACCCCTTTAAAATGTTCTTGTACAACTGCTGTCATTATTTAGTTTGAAAGAACTTCCTTTTCTAAGCTAAACTGGCTGGAGTTTTTGCAGATCATCCGGAGCTGCACAAGGATAGAGGAACAGAGGATAGTGGAGCGGGTTCAAGGCCCAGTGACAATGGTGCAGAACCAACTGGGAGAAGGCTCGCAGCAACAGATGAGCTTATGCTTGAACGCTTCAGGAAACGAGAACGACAACGTGGAATGAGGAGATGAGATTAGCTAGCATGGCCAAAGTGGTTGATTTAGTAGATCGGCGAGTGTCGTGTAACTTGTAGTGTAATAATTATCTCATGTTTTCTTTGATCATTCTTTTTTGGCCAATTATTTGTAACATATGACCTTTTTGCTAGTTTGTAATTTTATGGCCATTTCAGCTTTATGAAAAAGCATGATAGACCATAAGAAATCACACTAAATGGTTGGGGGTGGGGGTGGGGGGCAAAGTTTTGAACTTTAATAACTTTTAATTAAAATTATAAATATATAACTATTAATTATCTTCCTGAGGTAAAGTTTAAAGCATTGAAGTCAATTGATCCCACTTAACTCGCCTCGTTTAGTTGCACCAATTTTATGTAGGCACTCAAAAATTCTTGGAAATACACTAAATATGGTGCTGTTTGGTTAACCAAAATATTGCAAAATGTAGGAAATAGAAATTTCTAAGAATTTCAATGTGGGAATTTATTTACCCACCTCTCCCTAGGTAATTCAAATTTCTTAGAAAGTAATTTCCCTAATGCCAACCAAACAAACTAAATCAATTTCCTAGGAATTTGAGGAGGGAAATGATTTCTCATGAATTGTAATTAATTCCCATTGCAATCAAATGAATCCTTATAAAAGCTTATTACATACAATTAAAATATTCTCCCTTTATTTTATTTTATTTTATTTTTTTTAAAATGCATCACTTCCATTTTATGGGTATGTTTTTTTTTAGATGTATCACTTCTATATTTGGTAATTTTATACTATATTTTATCATTTCTCTATCTTATTTTAAACTCCACTTAAATTATTTTATCATTTCTCTCTCTCCCATAGTCCCCACTTAAATAATAAAAAAATACTTTTTCAGATACTTTCTCTTTTATGATTCCTATCTTACTTTTACTATAATAAATTATTCACCCACTCATATATTATTCTCCTAAAACTCCGCGCGTCACCCATTGATGCATTTAAAAAAAACGGAGGGAGCAACAATTAAGTAATTGTAGGGAATTTTTCAAACTCAACCTTTTGAGCCCCACTGTGTTCATGCTTTTAGGCATGGCGGCGCTCCAAGGGAAGGAAGCTAGAGCTAGAAGAGTCGCCAACAAGTTTTAGGAACTTGTAAACCGTCCACGGGTGTGAAGGTTACACCCCATTCACAATCACGGAGATCGCTAACTCCATTGTGGTCCGGAACCATGACTGGATGTTCGGGGATGATGGAACGAATCCAACCTAAAAGAGATTGAACCCGCCCTAAATCGGCCTCTACTTAATTCTTATGATATTCATGTGCGCTTTTTTATGAACATACATACATCAAGTTAGCCCTAAACCTGTTTAATCTACGTTGGTTGATTATTAATGCACAATCAAATCTAATATTGGTGATCACTTGAATTAAAATCATATTAGCCTAAATTCAAATTATTAATTATCTTAATAAGCGTGATTTCAAATACAAATTTCCTTTAAACCTGCAAAAAGGGGCGTGATCAAACAATAACAATCAATCATGAATAATCAAGCAACATATGATTAGTTGACACAACAATCATCATCATAATCAAAATCATCAAAACAACATTAGTAAGATCCTAGGCATAATACTAAACGGATTAATAACAAATCCTAGCATGTCACTATAATCAAAGCATTATCCTAAACATGATACTAGAAATCATAAAAAGCATCCTAAATATGATACTAGGAATCATAAAGAGCATCCTAACATGATACTAGAATTAAAATAATATTGTAAGCATGAATTATACTCCAAAATTAAGGATGAAGTAATTGAATTACTTACGTTGATGTTCCTCCCTTCTTGCTATTAAAATAATAAACACGTTAGTAACTTTAAGAAAGATTAAATCAACAAAGTAAATAAATCAAATAATAATTGAAATATAGATTTGGGACCAAAACCCTTAAAACTATCAACCTTTCCCGTTGAGGTCGAAGACAACGTCGAGGAGGGCTAGGAGTATTTGAATCTCGCAAAGGAGGTATGGTGTTTGTTTGGGGAGAGTATTAAGGATGTGTTTAGGCTAAGCTAAGAATATGAGAAATCATGAGAGAGAGAGAGTATTAGAAAGGGTATTGTTTAGGGTAAAAATACCCAAGTCCACGTGGCCCTACCAGGTGGTGACACGTGTCACCCTTAGAGGGGTTCAAAATGAACCAATCCTCTGTTGACACGTGGCACCCCCAGTCTAAAGGAAAAATATGGCCTTCTTGGCCCAATCCATGAATCAGCCCACCAGCCTTTTGGGTTTCATAACCCAAGAAGGGGAGCTGATTCCTAGACCTTATAAATAGGGAGATATCCTCATTTATGAAGGCATTCAGAAATATCCACACAAATCAGAGCAATATTAATTGCAGATATTCTCTCTCGGAATCCGAGAGAAACTCTTTACATTTCTCACTTTTAACTTCGTCCGTACACATACTAACTTGATCGTCGGAGGCGGAACTCCACCCAACCGGAGTTTCCATGGTTTTGCAGGTACAGACGGTCAGCATCCATTCTTGGAATTGTAACTCTCTAGAGAGTCTTCAAAAACCCCAAAACATTTGGCGTCGTCTGTGGGGAGATGAGTTGCCTCATGTCTTATGGGCCATCAAAACAATTGAAAAAGGGGCAACCGGTGAAACCCCGTTTCTCATGACATATGGTGCAGAAGCCGTCCTGCCTATTGAGCACTATGAGCTAACACTTCTGATGTTAATCCAGCAGAAGAAAAGTCAACAATTGTCTGCGTTGGCTTCAACGTCGACTTATCAAGACAGTTTCCAAAATACCTCGATGAGGTATTCGCAAACAAACCGAGAGAGTCAATCACGCGGCTTGTCCGCACGTACTGGCCCTCAGATTATCCAGCCGGCACTGTATGTGCCCCAAAAACTATACATGCCCTATGGATCTCCATACATGCAGCCGGACATCTTTGGGGGTTAGGCGGCGCAGAATGTCCAGCCAATGAACTTGCAGCTCCGACTGCTAAAACTTGGGGAACAGCCATCAGCGTTCTCCAAGGAGATAACCGAGGCGGCACATCCGGCCAAGGTTAAGAATGTATTGGTAGGTACCTATGATGGTACCACCAACCCAGAAGACCACCTAATGGCGTATACAACCCTCATGTATTTACAGGGGTTGGATGATGCCACTTGGTGCCGATGCTTCCCGGCAACATTGACGGGTATAGCCCAACGATGGTTTGGCGACCTGCCAGCCGGTTGTATCAATAGCTTCAAGACGCTTGCGTACTTGTTTGCTTCCAACTTCTCTATGAACATTCCTGCCTAGAAGACAAGTCTCGACTTGGGAGCTATACACCAGGGAAATAGAGAAGGGCTAAGGTCCTACGTCAGGCGGTTCAATCTTGAGAAATCAGATTCAAGGGCTGTCTGACGAAGTTGCATACACAAACTTCTTTAAGGGTCTGAAGGACGGATCGACCTTTAAGTTTGACCTCGTCAGAAAGAGGGTTGCTACCCTCCAAGAGGTGTTGATGGAAGCAGAAGCCTATATACAGGCAACTGAGCTTTGCGAAGTCGTCGGACCCTAAAAAGTCCAACATAAAAGAGAGCCGGTCTGCTCAGCCGGCTAAAAAAAGAAGAGAGCAAGAAAAGAAAAGAAGTCTGGGTGGAGGACAATTCTGGTAAGCCATCCCAGAAGAAGAAGAAAGAGTTGAAACCGTACGTTCCTAAGTACGAGTTCAACAAGGACTGTTACTCCATCCTCATAGAGATTAAAGACCGGGTGACTATTGAGAAACCGGCTGCAATGAAAAGTTCCATCAAAAGTCGGGACAAAGAAAAATACTGTCACTTCCATGAGGATATAAGCCATGACACCAATAACTGCTATAGCCTCAAGCGGTCGTTGGACCGTCTGGCTGACAAAGGGGTACTGAAGTCCTACATTTTAAAGTCCCGGGTGACCCTCAAAACAAACAGTGGGCAACCGTCCAAAAAATCAGACCAGCTTGCTATTAGCTCTGATACTGATGAAGAGCAGATATATACTATAGCAGGCGGTTTTGCTGGAGGGGGTCCTACCATCAAAAGGCTGGAGGTCAACTTAGTTGATGAGGGTCAGGCGTCGAAAGACACCTTTCCTGAGGTCATCATCAGTGAGAAAGACTAGGGCAAGGTCAGGCGTCCGCATGATGACCCCACAATAATTGAATGTAAGGTGGCTAACCAAAGAGTGGGCCGGATCCTCATAGATACTGGGAGTTCGTTTGACCTGATCAGCTACAGGTGCTTGGCAAAGCTCAAGTACAAGCCTAGCAACATGCACAAAGTCTCTCACCCCTTGGTCGGTTTTGGGGGTGGAGTAGTGCATCCGGTGGGGAGGATTGACCTACCCATCCGGCTAGGAGAGAAGGGGGAATGACGCCATATGGTTTTCAAATTCTTAGTAGTTGAGGAACTGACAACCTACAATCTGATTTTGGGCCGTCCAACCCTCAACGAGTCCAAGGAAGTCATCATCCCATCCCTCATGCTGCTGAAATTTGAGAGGGATGATGGGTCAGTGGGTTCCCTAAATGGGGATCAGAAGACGTCAAGGGAGTGTTATCTCTCAGACGTCAAGCCTACAGTGGCCGCATCCGGCCAAGGTGAAGAGCTCATTGACCTTTGAGGACTTCAAGGAAGTCGCGCCTGCTCCAAAGGCAGACGATAAAAAGAGGAAGGCGGACCAGTTGGTGGCCGTCAAAAAGGAAAAGCAATAGCAATCACTGATCGGGGAACGGTCAGATGATCTCCGTCCCCAGCCGGCTGGTGAACATATTGACAACCTTCTAGACGATGCACATCCGGAGCGAACTGTTAAGGTTGGGACGACTGCTTTTGCAAGGTTGGTGCAGACTTGCACCAACTGTTGAAAGAATTCAAAGACATTTTTGCCTTTGAAGTGGATGAGATGCCAGGCGTCAGCCCGGATCTCGCTGTCCACAAACTCGCCGTGGATCCAAAAAAGAAGCCTATTAGGCAAAAGAAAAGAAACCACGATGAGGAGAGATCTCAGGCGGTTGCCGCCGAGGTCAAGAAGCTGATGGATGCCGGGTTCGTTCGGTAATGTTACTACCTGGATTGGGTAGCAAATGTTGTTCTAGTGAAAAAGCCAAATGGTACCTGGCGCATGTGTGTTGATTACACAGATATGAACAAGGCCTGTCCGAAGGATAGCTATCCACTTCCAAAGATCGACCGTCTAGTCGACTCTACATCCGGTCATGC